AATCACTATTAATGCATGGCTTATATTTTTGAGGTGGTCAGGCAACAAAATTACATGAAAATAAATAATAATGTGCTGCTGTTAAATTAACTTCCAATGCTTTTCTTAGTGTGGCATAACAGTTTCTACCAAACACACAACCTTTAAAAAAAAATACATATAACCATGAATCTGATTCTTCCTGAGCTGAATTCCGCTATGAAAGTGTGGATAGAATACCAATATCCACAGTGCCCATCATGTTGCTTGGCCTATAAGAAAGACAGACCACCGTCGTAAATATAGAATTTCACATGTCGTCCAACCAAAAACAAATAAAAGCATTTTACACTTTGCATTTATTTTCTCATAATGCAATAAAACACTCATTTATACTTCTCATGTTGCTTTTGGAGGATATAAAACCCAGAAAGCAGCAGATATGCTTTTTGAATTTATGTGGCAGCAACTGACCACAACTGGAGCAACATTACTGCTAAAATAATAATTGATCTGAAATCAAATTGGAATTCATTTTAAAACAACAGCTACTGGTTTCCCAAATCAAGTCTTTCAAAAAATTTTACGGGGAAAAAGCTAATGTTTATTTTGGTAATCCATCCTTTTTCTTTTTCCATTAAGACTGATCATGTTTTTTCGGTTAAAACCAATTCTTTTTTTTACCCCAGAATAGTGTAGGTCTACCTTTAACTTTTTTAACCTGAAAATTTGAAAAATCAACCAATAATTGAATATTATCAATCTTTTCTATACAAGTTAAAATAATGAATCTCTCTGAACCATAAAATGTAACATTTTTTTTCTTCTCTAAGCACCAATTAAAGATGTAATATTTATTTTATATTTTGATTATTCTTCTTTGCTTTCAAATTATTTCAAACCGCTATCCTTAAAAAAAAAACAGTTATTTCAATGTTTTATTCTTCATGAAACTACCTTCAATCAGTTTAAGCATGAAAGAGACAGTCCTTGGAAGGGTCCTTTGATCATCCTCTGCACCAGTTTCCATGGACATAAAAGAAATACCATTCAGTCACATCAACCTTAACTAAATATTAACATGTTTGCACAATCCAATGCTGGTGTGAATGTGCAGCTGAATTCAAATGCAGATCAAAGGAGTGACCAAGTTCGCCTAAAACTACATGCCATATCCCACATCAAGGGAACCAAATCAGAAGGCGGACTATAGAGCAGGGCATTGTGGGTCAAACAAGCCAAACAAAGGCATGTGTTGCAAGGTTACAAAGAGACACAGATCATAGTTATATGTAGAGGGAGGGTGGCTTAAAAGCTCTGATTGAAATAGGATTCTCACAAGAAGAATGTTTTTAAAGGTACACTTCCTCGTAAAATTGCCCTTTTCTTTATATATATATATACTATTAGCTCACTCTGGTAGCATGAAACGTTCTAATGAAGGATTACCAAATCCTGCTGCTATATTATTTGTTACACTTTGTACACTGAATCTGTAAATATAGCCTGTTCAAACGATTGATGTACAACACAGCACGCATGTGCAGGGAGCAGAAGGAGGCAGTGGCTTAGCCAGTTAGCACCTCCCAGTGAGGCGTAAAAAAAAAATATGCATGACAAGAGTCCAGTAGGAGAAAAACCCACATAAAAATAACACCAATGGATTTCAAGACTTGAACAGCTCTTATGCTACGTTCACACCTAAAGCTCCAAGAGCAGCAAAAACGCAAGTTCTGCTTCATTTTTGATGCTTGTACAAGTTTAGTTTTGATGTGCGGCTGAAGCATCTTTGCTGCTCTGGCTGCGCAGTGCAGAGTGGGTCTGACGCGTGTTGGGAGGAGCTACCCTATCCTTTCTTTGCCTATAACAATGGCAGCTATATATGCTGTGATCAGTGGGTAAAAAGTAATTTTAATATGTTTTTCAGTGAGAAAGTCCACATAAAAACTTAATCTGTGCAGTCAGTTCATCCAGATTACCACCCTGCCTTCAAATATTATTTCTCTCTCAGAGCCGTTCAGACCCACACATACCTTGCCCTGTCAGTAGGAATCCCATTCAACAGAAGCCTCTGGCTCGGTCGCCTCTTCGCGGTTTGCCGCGGCAGCTGGAAGGGGTTTTTCATTTACGTAATCCAAAGTGCAGACACCAGGAAAATAAAAACGAACATGTTTTGCCGGCAGATTTCATCATTTTAAATTAATGTAGGCGTTAATAAACTGTTTCAGAGGAGTGATTATAGTGATCTGTATCATCAGAGATGTGCCTCTCTCCTTGTCAGCTCCCAGATCAGCTTCTCTGATTGGTTGATGTGGCGCGGCGAGCAGCAAATATTAAAATTTTCCAACTCCAGCAGCTGCTGTGTTTAAATAAGCCCAGTGCTGGAATTCTATTCAGGCTCAGAGAGAACCATCAAAACACTGTAAGAAGAGAGTTATTTTATAACAAGACATGCACTGGTAAGGATTTTCGGAGCCAGGCCTCGACCACAAAAATCAGAATCTGCTGATTGCTGATCACAGCATCAAATCCATTAATTCCTCATATGCTGTATCGTGTACACTGTACTGTTAGATACTAAAGCTACAGGGGATGAGAAAGTACAGTATCATGAATTGACCACTGTTTAATGAAGGAGCCTGCTGAGACAAGCTTTTTAAATAAAAAAAAAAGAGAAAATAATCTTTACTAAGTATAAAATGGGAGATGCTTTAAAGAGGTTTGTAGGTAGCTTTTAGAGGGACAGTTTCATGGTCCTAACTCTAAACCAACCAGCAGTCTCATCCTCTTCATGAGCTGCAATACCGTCAGCCTGACAGGCTCCTCTGATCCCGCCTGTCATTCTTCCACCTCTAGCTGTTAGCCTCTACAGGGTAGCCACAGCTAGCCGTAGCCTCTCCCTGCTCATTCTCCTCTGCCCTTCTCTCAGCATACTGTTTCCCCAGGGGACTTATCAGATCTTCCATCGTGCTCCTTCAGTCCTCTGCACTTAGCCTAGCTAGCCTTGGTCAGTTGTAGCCTCTCCCCACCCTGGCGCCCTTTCTGTGGCGCTTCTCTAATCCATCACTGTGCTCCTCCGCTCCTGAACTGCCTTATCTTCCCACTTTGGTGCACTGTCTGCTCAGTAGGCTGCTCTGATCCACCACTGTTATACCTTAGCTCCAGAGGGCAACATGGCTGGCCAAGTTCATCCCGGTAATGGTGCCCTCTCTCACTGTTTTTAACGCTGCTTCTGTCTGAGCTCGGAATGCCATCTCCTTTTCCCTCTGTTGTCCGGGTGATTCGTCCCCCATTTTTGGGCACTCGGATCAAAACAAACGTGAATCAAGGATGGGAGAAAGATGCGTATCCAATCAGGAAAATAATAAATAAATAAAATCATCAACCAGAGCTCAAAATAGTCCAGTCACCAGTTGTGGCTAAAAACTTAAAAATCGGCAGATTGCTGAGCACATTCAATTGATCCATGCAAGTCTATATAAAACCCCACTTTATGAAGTTCATTTTCTACTTTTTAAGTTGGACACATATGACAATGCAACTTAAAGATAATTTACCTGAAAATGGAGGAGGTGGTGTAGAATGGGGCAAACCCCACTAATGTTTTTGTTAAAGAAATTAAAAATGGTTAAATAGTACTAATTTTGAAGAAAATAATCATTCCTATGTGTAATACGGTATAGTCTTCCGACAATGAAAACCTACATTTTATGACTACCCAAGGGGTTCGGTTTATTACTGTTTTCTTAAAGTCGTAGAGAAACGGCCGTTCCAACCGTTGCATTTCTGAATTCTCCAGAGTGGTGTCCGACTTTATACGGGTGAATAAAGTGAATGTGATTGCTCGTTTATCTAGAGAGCGGGATTGTTGTTGCTGAAGGTTCACAAACAAGTTTGATTGTAGCCAGTTTCTCAGAAGCATCTTGCTAAGCAGTTAGCAACTTAGTGCTAGTAGGCAGCAGAAGCTTCGTTTGGTGTAGAAGGCTTACAGTCGTACATGTTTGAGCCCTTGCCTCGCAACGTTGTCAGTTCTGTTAGCTCTACGCCTGCCGAAGACACAGACCTCCATCCCGTGAACACTGGGACATTACTCAACGGTAAAGTAAATTCTAATGGGTTCTTATTTCTTATTTCAACCGTTGCGTATATTAGCTGCAACATATAAATCTAGATGCTATGATCGAAAAAATTTCATTGACAGATGACCGTTGATATATGATTGGTCAAATTTTGGTGTAAAGGCTGATGTATAACTAACGGGCCTGCATAAGATAACAAAAAATAAACCCCACAGATTTTAAGACAGGATTTTTTTTTTTTTATAGAAA